CTCCGCAGCACGTGGGATCTTCCCGGACCGGGGCACGAACCCGCGTCCCCTGCATCGGCGGGCGGACTCCCAACCGCTGCGCCACCAGGGAAGCCCCAGTATGTGGTGTTTTGTGTCTGGCTTCTTCTGCTTCCCATGGTGTTTCTAAGTTGCAACCACGTGTCAGTGCCTCATCCCTTTTCATGCTCGAGTCATATCCCAGCATATGGATGGACCACGTCTTGTTTCTCCATGATGTTCCTGACTGTCCTCAATGTCCACAAAATGACAGCTTAGTGAGAAGTGCTGCTATGAACAGTTCCATCCATGACTCTTTTTTTTTCTGCTTTTCTGAGAACTTTCACCCATGACTGCTGGGTAGGAAGCAGCTGTCTGGGCTCTGGCATGGCTGGTCCGTCCTCTGTGGGTCACTGGGACAGTTTCCCCAGGACACTGTGGCTCTGGCATCTCCTGCTCTGCTGTCTCTTCTCTTTTCCAGCTTTTTCTAAAGTTTCTACATTAGATGTGTCTTTTCCTCATATCAGGGACACAGAGCCAGGAGGGGGGCTCAGCCTCTTGGCCTGGCTGGAGGGCAGTGGGAGTATGGGATGCCCTAAACACCCTCTCTAACCTCAGGGAGGCCCCAGGTGCAGAGGCTGCCTCAGGAACCACCTGCCTCCTGTTCCGGGTCCCCACCCCAGGGCCACATCTGCCTCTGCCCTACTGTGTGCCTGTGGGCAAGTCCCTGTCCCTTTCTGAGTGTGTCCCGCCTTATAAACTGCAAACCTGTCTCCCTGCACCTGCCTGCCGGCCCCTCTTACTTTCTCAAGAGGAAAGGCAAAGGTACGAAGCAAGGATGTTTGGTAGGTGCATCTTCCCAGCACAGGTGGGTGATTTATCCGGCTGTTTGCTTGCTGTGCTTATTCTGGGATTCGCGGGAAAAGGGGCACTTCATGTATTTTCTACTTGTTTGTATTTTCTAAGGTTTCTACATTAGATGTGTGTTAATTTAATCATGAAAAGACAGTAATTACAAAAATTAGAAGATTAGAAGAAGTTATGCTTTTGTAAAGCTTCTTAGGGAATTATTATTATTATTTTATTATTTTGGCCATGCCGCATGGCTTGCGGGATCTTAGTTACCTGACCAGGGATTGAACCCGGGGCCACGGCAGTGAGAGCACCGAGTCCTAATCCCTGGACCGCCAGGGAATCCCCTTTGGGAATAAATTCACATATGGAAAAAATGTCACCGTCTGATTGTAAATCCATTCTGGGGGGGGTTCGAGAGAACAGTCCCCACCTGCCAGACCCCGTGCACATTCTGATACCAGGTTAAGGTGAGTGTGAGACCCCAGACTCCTGGTGGCTTCATCTCATCCTGCCCTGCCCCCACGTGCTGCTGTTCAGCCAGAACTTTTCACAGGTAATCCCCACCTCGACTTGCATCCCCTGCAGCTCTCTCAGACCCCTCCCCTCCCCCTCTTGGGAAGGCCCGTGTGCTCCAGGGTGCCCGCCTACCGTGAGCATCAAAGAACTCATCATCCGAGCTCTCGTCTGAGTCCCGGGCGATACTCTGCATCCTCCACTCCGAGATGCTGTGGCGGGAAGGACTCGCTGGAAGGCAAAACCCCAGACTGACGGACCACCCAGCAGCACTGGGATAAGCGGGCAAGCGGGCGGAGGCAGGCAGGTGCGATGATGCTGGAGTAGGGCCAGCAGGGCTCAGAAGGCGATGCAATGGAGAAATGAGGGCGGGACGGCTCTGACGCATCTCCCAGCCCACCTGGCACAATGCAGTCCTGTCCCGGGAGGACGTGCGTGGGGGAGGGTATCAGGTATGAGGCCAGGATGCGCAGTCACCCAGGCTTGGGTCCACTCCTGTGCCCTTGACTTCATCTGCTCAGGAGCAAGGCCCCCTCCCTTTTTTTTTGCCGCACCACTGCGTGGCATGCGGGATCTTAGCTCCCCGACCAGGGGCTGAACCCGGGCCCTGGCAGTGGACCACCAGGGAATTTCCAGAAGCGAGCCCCTTCAACTCTGCCATGGCGGGGCCAACAGACAGGGATGCCCGGCAGGGGCGGGAAGTGAGATTAAAGGTATGGATGCGTGTGTTTCCATGGATCCCTTCAGCACAGCACAAGTCTGGTGTGGGAAAAGATGGATTTGCGGGAGGGGGTGGGACTCCTTGCGTTTTAGACGAAGTACCCCGAGTTTCCCCCATAACCACTGCACTTTCAAGTGAGTTCCAGAGAAAAGGCCTTTCTGAGTATCTGAAGCCTTTCAGGGTCCTTTGGCCTGGCTACTCCCTCAGGCGCAGAAGCCTCTCCTGGGTGTGCTGGGTGCAGCGCACCCAGACCCCCCCGACTCCGCCTTGGAACCCTGGCTCAGAGCTGCAGCCGGCTGGGTCCCAGGAGGGGTTGGGAGTGGGGATCCCACGTGGCCAGCCTGCCTGTGTCAGCTGGGCTGTGTGGGTGAGTCTGGGTGGGTGAGTCTGGGGGAACCTGCCAGGGTTGGGGCAACGCCCTGGGCTTCACTCCGAGGCGGAGGCTACAAGGAGGTGACTAGTTCTGAGTACCACAGGTGCGGCCCGCAGGTCCGAAAGCAAGAGTCCACCTTCAGAGTTCGAAGTCCCCAGCAGCGGCACGGGGCTGCCCTGGCAGGGGCAGTCGCCGGGGTGGACGAGCAGAGGGCAGGGACACCCGCGGGGACAGAGTGCGCTCACCTCCCCGCTTGGACGACCGGGACGACTTGGAGGACGTGGACCACTGTTTCTTCAGACCCCTGCCCACCAGGGGCTCCCCACCGCTGCTGCTGGGCTGCGGGGGCTCCCTGGGGGCCTGGGCCTGGGGGGCCTCATCCTTGGCCAGCTCCGCGGCCCCCTCGTCGTCCTCGTTGAACTGGGCCATCTTGCGGGACAGCATGAGCTGCGCCTCCTTCTCCAGCTCCCGGATGTTCTCCATGTTCAGCCCGTACCACTCGTCCTGCCAGCACCAGGCCTGCCGGTGGGCCCTCACCATCACCTTCCGCAGGCCTGCAGGGGAGGGAGAGAGAGACAGAGAGACGCCCGTGTTAGAGCCCCCGGGGACTCCTAGGCTGGGAGGTGCCCCGCGGTGCAGGACAGGCTCTGCCCCTCACCCACTGCATGGCTTCCAGCAAACCACTGCCCTCGTGCCCGTTTCCCCATGTGTAAATGAGGGGTCCGGCTCACAGATGGCTTCACAAGCTCACAGTGGCTCTGTAACTGGGGTACTGGGGCTTCCCAAGGTGCTGTGTCTGCTCAGAAGCCGTGCTGAGTTCTGCGGGGGGCGGGGGGTCCCTGCCTCGTGGGGAGCTGGAGTAGGACTTCCTGAGTGTTTGCCGTCTCAGAGTCAAGGGCACTTCTCTTGTCGAATTTCCCACGGGAAAGTCAACCTCAAGCTCGAAGCACGCTGGCCCTTTCTTTTTTAAACAGAATATATACACATACGATATAAAATAAGATATAAAATACAATAAAGTACGATATATAGGAATATATCATATATAGAAAATAAGATGGAAAATAAGATACTTTTAAGGTACAAAGAACAGAAGAACCACAGGGACAGGAAGCAGATGGGGGCCGCCTTGGGTGGGGATGAGAGTGGGGGTGACTGCGAAAGACTCTGGGGGCATGGAATGTTCTAGAACTGTGTGCACTACTCTGCAAACACACTCAAGCTTACGGAACTCAAACTTCTCTTACAACAGATGCAAAATCAGGCCTCAATAGGCTGCTTAAAAAACATTAAGAAGAAATAAAGCATTTCCCCCCCCCCCCCCCCCCCCAAAGCCACTGACTCCAAATTAAGACAAGACAGACAATAGGTTTTGAATTCCATGGTTTGTGTTTTTATAAGTTTTCTTCAAGCAGCACCCAACTTCAGTTCCTAAAATTGGTTTATGTCAGGGACTTCCCTGGAGGTCCAGTGGTTAAGACTCTGCCCTTCCACTGCAGCTCCCCCGCCGCCGCCACCCATCGAGGGAGAAGACGTGACCAGTAACGCGGAGTCCACGGTCGCCCTCCCAGACGCATCTTCCTCCCGCCCTGAAAGGGTCCATCCTGAATTTTGTGTTTGTCACTTGCTTTTCTTTCCGTGCTTTTCTATACAACATGTTGGGTTGGCCTACATGTTGTTGACATTTACATGTATGTGTCACGCTGCATGTATTTTTCTGCCACTTCCCTTTTTTGGGTGAGTTGCCGGTTTGCTGCTGTATGGTATTTATTTGTGTGAAATACCACATTTTATTTATTCTTTCTCCTTTGGCTCACTTTCATTGTTTGTCCGTTTTGCTTTTACAATCCTGCTGCTCTGAACATTCCGGAACGTGCATTTGAGTTTCTCCAGGGGGGCAAACCCGGAAGGGTCATCACTGAGCCTTCCTCCCGCTTTCCTAGAGAAAGCTGAGCGGCATCCCAGGTGGTCCGGCCCTTCCTCGTTCCCAGGCTGGTCTCTGGCGACCCTTCCTCCGGGCTCACCTCCCGATTCCCACTTGCAGCCTCGCTCAGGCCACTTGGCCTCCCCAGCTGTCCTTTCTATATCCCTTCATTCCCAAAAGACTGCCTTGGAGAAACTCCCTCTCACCCCTGCTCCTAGGAGGGTGCCCCCAAGCCCCGGGCCGTGGCCTCAGGCACACCACCCTCAGGGTCAGCCAGCACCCACACTGGACAGACCATCTGATGAGATGTGACGCACAGACGAGGACGGCTGGGATGGGAGATCTGGGTTCAGACCCAGGACTGGCCCTGGGCTTCCTCCACTGCAAATGGGGGTTGGAGGGGGTGACAGTGGCCACCCTGCAGAGCCATGGAGAGCTGATGTGACACCTGTGAAGCATACCATCAGTGCTGTGACTCTACTCATGGCTACACAGTCACCCCTGCTCTTGGAGTGAGCAGGTGTCTGCCCGGGTGCCGCTCGTGGATCATGAGCCTTGGGGCTAAAACCAGGCCCTAGGCACTGATCTCTGCCCTGACTGGGGGGCAGGGAGGAGCCCGGATTGGCACTAGCTCCTTCTAGAACCCCTGGGCATCTGCTGTCCTGTTCCCTGGGCACCTGCTCTGGGCCAGGCGGGCGTGGGTGTAGGACAGGAGGATGTCCGAGACGCTCTCCCCTGGGACTTCCAGCCCAAAGCGGGAGGCAGTGCCGGGGCAGGGCCTGGGGTCTGGCCTTGAGGTGCCGAGAGGTGCTTTGAGCAGCAGGGGGGCAGTCCCCTGGGGCTGCTCCCCCATGGTGGGTGGACGTCACATGTTACAAATACTAGCCAGTCTGGAGTGTCTGGGGCAGGCACACACTGCCTGTCGTCTGTAGGTGCTCGGCAAGTGTTTATATGGTCAAGGTAAACCAGGTGGGTGGCTGCATGTGGGCCTTGGGGGTCGCCTGTCCAGAGTAAGACAGAAACGTGGAGTCCCGGGCAGATGCAGAGAGAGAGGGCGGGCAGACAGGGGCACACAGACGGAGAGGCCGGGCGCACTCACCTGTGTCGTGGATGAACCTCTCGATCTTGGACTGCATGCCCCAGTAGCGGAACTCCACCTTGCAGAGCTTGTAGGCGCACATTATGGGGAAGACCTGCTGCTTGTACTCCTCGATCCAGTTCTCGGACAGGGGCCCCCGCTGGGTCTTGGTCGAGTGGAACAGCTTGGGGTCCTCTTCCGTCTTATACTCGTTGGGGGGCACGGAGTCCTTGACGATGTCGATGAAATCTACGGGGAGACCCCGTGAGTGACAACGTCTGCCCCAACCTCCACCCCACCCCTCCCCATCCAGTCTCCTCGCCATGTCCCTGCCACCCCCAAATCCTCGTGGGGCCCCAGGCCTCGCTGTGCCCGACGTGGGGGTGAGGACGTTGTTCTGGTCCACCCTGACCCCGAGCTCCCCCGCCCTCAGGACCTGTTGCCTTTTCAAATCATTTCAGCAACCCCCCTGTTTTGGGCACACTTGCCAAAGCGGATAAATGAGGTGATGAGCTGGAGAAGCATGGGCGAGATGAGGATGGAGGATGTGGGATGCGGCGGGGGCGAGTAAAAGAGTAAAGCTTCCCAGAAAAGCTGGTGTTTCAGCTACAGGAGCAGAACTGTGAGGCCAAGAACGTCCCAGAATGTGACACTGAACCAGGAGGTGGGGGAGTTTGGGGAACCACCAGGGTGTCTGCGTGGGTAGAGGTGATGGGGATGCAGCTGGACACATCCGCCATCTCTCACCGGGCTTTGTGCCCAGCCGGCACCCTGAGGGGAAGTGGCCCTACAGATGCGCTTTAAGGCGGCTGGCCTGCTGGGAAGCCCCTCCCAGACAGATCAGCAGGGAAGAGTCCGGAAACCACGTCTGACGGGCCCAGGGGGAGGCGTCGGGCCTGAGAGGGTCCAGGATGTGCCTGAGAGTGGGCAGCAGATGCCATGGGGCTGGGCGCTTGGAAAACAGCACTGGGGGCTGGTGGGACCTGGGTGAGGGGCGGGACAGTGACTCCGGGAAGGACCACCTCTTGTCACATGGCTCCTCCCCCAAGTCAAAGCCATCCTGCTGGGCTGGCTCCCCGAGGTGTGCATGTGGTAGATGGGCTTGCGTGCACAGCTGGTGAGGAGGACCCCAGGGCAGGGTCTGTGGCCCAGAGAGCCCTTCTTTCAGATGTGTAGGGACGACGGCACTTGGGGGGGCTCTGCCCCGACTGGGCCCCGACTGTCTCGTCTCCCTGGCTTGCTGGCACCGAGTCTGGGTTGTGGTTTACAGACGCAGGCGTTGGCCCCACTGAAACTGGTGACTGGTCAGAAGCGGCCCGAGGGCAGCAGGATGTGGGGAGGGATGCACATCCTTCCTGGAGCCAACCATGTGCCCAGCCAGCTCAGGCAGGCAAAGGCCGCTAAGCGGGGGGGCTGGGACTTAGGAACCATGGCAGGAGGCCTTCGGGGGGAGCCTGCAGCTGGCCGGACAAGAGCTGCCAGAGGGCCTGCGTCATGCTGGGCCCTTCCTTCCTGTTATGGGTAGACTGTGTCCCCTCCTAAACTCATCCGTTGGAGTTCTGGCCCCCAGGGCCTCAGAATGTGACCTTATTTGGAGACAGGGTCTTTAAAGAAGTAATCTAATTAAAGTGAGGTCATTAGGGTGCACCTAATGCAACATAACTAGAGTGCTTATAAAAAGGAGAAATTCGGCTCAATTAAAAAATAAATACACCTGAAACTCACACAGCACATTGTAAATCAGCTATACTGCAATTAAAAAAAAAAAAAAAGGAGAAATTCGAATACGGACAAGCACGCAGAGAGAACACCATGTAAAGATGAAGGGAGAGATTGAGGTGATGCGTCTACAAGCCGAGGAACGCCAAAGACTGCCAGCAGCCACCAGAAGCCAGGGGAGAGGCCCAAACCCATTCTCCCTCAGGGACCCCAGAAGGAGCCAACCCTGCTGACACCCTGACCTTGACCTCTGACCTCAAAACTGTGAGAGGAAAAAGTATCTGTTGTCTTAAGTCCCTTAGTCTGTGGTACTTGGTTCTGGTAGCCCTAGGAAGCTAAGGTATCTCCCAAATCCCACTGGGGCCTAAAAACTCCGGCAGGAGGGAGGAGTCTCAGGGGATTGCCCTCCAGGCCTCTGAGGCTGCCTGGGAGTTCGTCAACACCCCTCCAACACCAGCCGTGCACCCATCTGGGAACCACAATGGCTTGTTCCTATGGGCTTGGGGCCTGTTGAGGTGCGGCTGGTCCACAGATGTGTCTTGTTTGGCTGGCACATTTACAGAGATTTTTAATTAGCTGTCAACATTTAGGAATTGGAAGATTTCACATGAAAACCCTGATTTCTGGCCTCGCTTGAAAAAGAAGATTTAACAAATGGGGCCTGTTTCCCACATGGCATAGTCAGCTAGAGGGGAGTAGAGCAGAGGCCGCCCACCATCAAGGGGACACAGGCCCCATCCGGCCTGCTGCACTCACGCATGGCTGTCAGCCTGATGTGGCCCCCAAGCACATGCATGCATTTCTGGGGATGGGGACACTTCAAAGGGATGAAGGAAGGGGCTTGAGTGGGTAATGCACGTAGCCTTAGTGGGCACATCAGGGAAATGGGGCCGAGGAGACCCATCCTTCCTGACCCCCCACCTCCGACCAGGCTTGCTTGGACTCTAACCTCCCCGCCCAGGACAGGAGCTGGTCTGCAGCCTGCCAGGCCTGAAGATCAGGGGCAGAATCAAGGGGCCCACGGGCGGGGAAACCGGGAACTCAGCCCTGCAGGGCTCCTGCCCTTCCCGAGTTGGGAGCGTCAGGGTAGACGGTTACCGATCGTCAGCTGGTTCTTTTCCACAGGAGACAGGCTGAACACATTGGGGTTTTCTCCAGCATCAGTTTTATAAAAGGTTTCGATGTCAATGGAGAATTTCTCCACAAAAGGGCAAGTGAACCTGTGGGGGAAGGAGGGTATCCATCAGGACTCGAGCTCAGCGGTGTAGGCGTGGGTGGCTGGGTGGAGGACGAGGGCTGGAGTGGTGGCCGAGACACGTTTGTCCTGTCCACCTCCTGGACCTTCACCTTGTCCCAAGAAGAGCCAAGTCCAGGTTGGAGGGAGGGATGGGTTTGGGGGAAGAGGGAGTCGTTCCAGGAAGCTGCCGGCAGCCCTGTGTCCACGTGTGTGAGGCGTGGTGTGGACTCAGGCACAGCGAAGGTGGCACACTGCTGAGTCGGCTGAATCTGGACCAGCGCTTCGCGTGACATGCCACCCTGTCCCCCGTCCCCTAAGAAACCAGGTGTGGCAACAGAGAAACAGCCTCTCTCTCTTGACTGGAGATGAGCTCAGAGGAGGAAAGTGCTGCTGGGAAGAGGAATAACCTGGATGGATCCTCCAGCAAACTCCAGGCCCTCAACGACCTGGGGAAGGAAGCCCCAGGAGATTCATGGGGACTCCACCTGCTCAGCAAGTGGGCGGCCAGCTGGGAGCAGCCCCCCATCTCTTCTACCGAAGCGGTGCTCAGCTATATTGGGTGGGGGCCACAGAGTGAAGAGCCCCCCTACCAGAGGGATCCAAAGAAAGCCCCGCTCAACATGGTTTGTTATAAAGCATCATCATAATCGCTGAAGGTCTCAGGGCTGGAGGGAATCTCTGGGCCACCTGGTCTACCCTCAGTGTGTGTTTCTTCCCAGCTGGTTGACTGTCCTGCATTCCCAGGCGAACGTTAAAGTGAGTTTGTATTCCCTGAGCCTTCCCAGATGGCAAAGGAGTCTCAGATGGCCCTCGCTGGACTCAGGCCTTCCTGGCCTCCCCCACTGGCAGGCTAGAAGGCACCTAGGGGTATACCCTTCCCTCTCCTGCCTGTTCTCTGAGGGGGAACCTGGGGGACCTTCAGGGTACCACTCAGAACAGAGGCTCAGCTCCCCAGAAGCCAGGGCTCCTTGGGGTGCGGGGATTGAGCCTGTCTGGAGGGCCGGCACCAGCATCTATGCTTCAGGGTTGCTTCCCCAGCAGACAGCACGAGGCTGAGGGCAAGCTCACCTGGTTCGGGTATAGGGGTAGGCGTTCCAGGACTCCTCCACCACCCGCAGAGCCGCCTTGGGCAGGATGGAGCGGAACCAGCTGGGGATGTGCATGCCCACATGGTACACCTTGTGTGTGTACTGCCCGGAGCCACCAGGGCCGTCCGTGTATGGCCGGTTCTCCAGGATCTCCACGCCACTGCCTTCACCGAACGTCTCGTTACGGCTCTTCTTCTGCGGGGACAAAAGCACTAGCGATGTGTGTGGGTCCAGAGCACTCTGCGGAGGGCGAGGGGTTTAGGAGACTGGCCGAGGGTGCTGAATGGGGGGGTGGGGTTTTGGCCAACCAGGCTGGCTCCTCCTGTATCATTTCAGGGCACGGCCCCCGCCCCCCAGCCCCGGCTCCACGCGCCCCAGCACTCATGCAGGAGACTGAAGGGGCCACGGTTCCCTGTCCGAGCCCAGCACTGCACGTGCAAACTCCTCCGTTCTGACTCCTGAGTGTGCCAGGACTGAAAGTGTTCCCAAGGTCAGGAACAAGATGAGGATGCCTGCTTTCTCACCTCTAGCCAACATTGTACTGGAGGTCCTAGCCAGAGAAATCAGGCAAGAGAAAGAAATAGTAAGAGGCATTCGAATAGGAAAAGAAAAAGTAAAACCATCTCAATTTGTTGATGACACACTCATATCCAGAAGAACCTAAAGAATCCCCCCCAAATCTGTTAGACCTGATACATATATTCAACAGAGTTTCAGGATACAGAATCAACACACAAAAGCAAACAATGCAGAAAGGAAATAAAGAAATCATTTCCATTTACAATAGCATCCAAAAGAATAAAATACCCGGGAATAAATTCAACCAAGGAGGTACAAGACTTGTACAAAGAAAACTATGAAACATGGCTGAAAGAAATTAAAGAAGATCTAAATAAACGGAAAGACATCTGTGTTCATGCACTGGAAGATTTCATATTGTTAAGATGTCAATACTCCCCAAAGCAATCTGCAGGTCCAATGTAATCCCTACCAAAATCCAATGGCAGTTTTGGTAGAAAGGGAGAAACATCCTAAAATTCATATGGAACTTCTAGGGCTCTCAAACAGCTGAAACAATTTTGAAAACAAAAACGAAGTTGGAATATGCTCCCATTTTCCGATATCAGAACTTGCTTTAAAACTACAGCAGGGGGACTTCCCTGGTGGCACAGTGGTTACGAATCCGCCTGCCAATGCAGGGGACACGGGTTTGATCCCTGGTCCTGGAAGATCCCACATGCCACGGAGCAACTAAGCCCGTGCGCCGCAACTACTGAGCCCACCTGCCACAACTACTGAAGCCCACGAGCTCTAGGGCCCGTGCACCACAGCGAAGAGTAGCCCCCGCTCACCGCAACTAGAGAAAAGCCCGCATGCAGCAACGAAGACCCAACGCAGCCAAAAATAAATTTAAAAAAACCCCAACTATAGTAGGGACTTCCCTAGTGGCGCAGTGGTTAAGAATTGGCCTGCCAATGCAGGGGATACGGGTTCAAGCCCTGGTCTGGGAAGATCCCACATGCGGCGGAACAACTAAGCCCAAGCGCCACAACCGCTGAGCCTGTGTGCAACAACTAATGAAGCCCGCACGCCTAGAGCCTATGCTCCACAACAAGAGAAGCCACCGCAATGAGAAGCCCTTGCACCGCAACGAACAGTAGCCCCCACTCGCCACAACTAGAGAAAGTCCGCGCGCAGCAACGAAGGACAAACGCAGCCAGAAAAGATTCATCCACCTGTTGCGGGTGGTAGTGGCTCTTTAAAAAAAAAACCAAAAAACTACAGTAATCAAAACAGTGTAGTACTGGCATAGGACAGATCTATGGAACGGAGATGAGAGTTTAGAAATAAACCCACAGATCTATACGCTATACGTATTGATTTTCAACAAGGGTGCCAAAACCATTCAATGCAGGAGGGAAGTGTCTTTTCAACAAATGCTGCTGGGACAATTGGATATCCACGTGCAAAAGAAGGAATCTGCACTACTATCTCATACCACATATAAAGATGAACTCAAAATGGATCAAAGCCCTAACTGTAAGAACTAAAAGTATAGAACTCTTAGAAGAAAACACAGGGGCGAGTCTTCATGACCTTGGATTTGACAATGGTTTCTCAGATACGATACCCAAAGCACAAGCAACCAAAGAAAAAGTAGCTAAATTGGACTTCATCAAAATGAAAAAAAAAAAAACTGTTGTGCATCAAGGGACACTATCAAGAGAGTGAAAGGACAATCCACAGAATGGGAGAAAATTTTTTGTAAATAATATATCTGATAAACGAATTACATCCATACAATAAAACATGATTTGGCTGTAAAAAGGAATGAAGCACTGACACATGCGACTACACAGATGAACCCTGAAAACACGCCGAGTGGAAGAAACCAGACAGAAAAGGCCATGTACTATATGATCCCATTTATATAAAATGTACAGAACAGGCAAATCCAGAGAGTCAGAAAGTAGATTATTGGTTGCCTGGGGGTTGGGGGAAAATGGAGAGCGACTTCCTTACGGGATGATGAAAATGCTCTAGAATTGTGATGGTTTCACAACTCTGTGAATGTGCTAAAAGCCACTAGACTATACACTTTAAATGTGTGAACTGTGTGGTGTGGGACTTACAGCTCAATAAATCTGGTATAAAACAAAACAAACAAACAAATAAAAACCAGCCTTGCCTCTTGTACTCAACTAAGATTTCAGAGGGATCAAACACGAGGAGTGAGAAGGCGCCTCGGAGACACGCCCGGGAGACGTGATGCCTGGGGTCACCTCCAAGTGTCTTTCTGCCACGAACGTCCTTCCCAGGGTCCAGAAGCTCAGGTTTCTGCTTCTGCACAAAACCCCGAGGTCAAGGTGCTGGTGACTTTAAGCCCAGCATCTGTTTCCATGGTGACATGACAGCATCTTCAGTCAGCTTCCTGAACAGCAGGTGCACATATACTCACACATGCACGCACCTGAGTCCTCACACACGTACACAGGCACTCCCCACAGCACTGCCTCACCCTCGGGGCACGAACCCTCTCCAAGGCACAAAGACGTGATATATCTCCATGGCCAGAGACACTGAGTCCCCTTCAGAAAAACAGCAGACCCTGGTTGAGGCCACAGATGGAGTCAGAGCAGGGACATGCCATTCCTCACTCTTTAAAGGAGCTCCTGGAATGTGGCCCAGATTCCGTAATGAAAACAGCGACCATTTCTCAGATGCTTTCCAAGATCCCGCCTCTTACAGTAGCTTCGTTGATTAGCAGTTGTGCTAAGCGCTTGGCCTGCGCTTTCTCATATAGTTACTGCAATGAGCCCTTGAGAAGACTGCAGGACTACTATCACCGCCAAGGTACAGATGGGAAGGTGGAGGCTCAGAGAGGCCGAGTGACCCGTCCAAGGTTACACAGTTACCAAACAGCAGAGCCAGGACGAACTCAGATTCCAGGGCCCGCTCACCCGAAGCAGTGAGCGCCTCAAGGAAAACACCTCGGGACAAGGTAGGTGCTGATAAGCAGTCACTGAGGCAAGTACAGAGACTGTAGTCCTAAACCCTGTGGCCAACTTTCTCTCATCCTGGACAAGTTGCTTCGTGTGTCTGGTCTCAGTTTCTAAAACTGTAAGTGGGGATGAGGCTACCTGTCTGCCCAAGCCCCAGTGTAGTGGTTTAAAGGCCCCCCCCCCCCCGCCAAATCCATGTCTACCGAGAATCTCAAACTGTGACCTTATCTGGAAATAGGGTCTTTGCAGATGTACTGATAATTAGTTAAGATGAGGTCATCTTAACTTAGATGGATTAGACAACTTAGGCTGGGCCCTAAATCCAATGAGAAGAGATCATTATAAGAAGAGAAAACGGAGACACAGACACACACAGAGGGCAGGCAGCCATGTGACAACACAGGCAGAGACTGGAGTGAAACAGCTTTAAACCAAGGAACGCCAAGGATTGCCGGCCACCACCAGAAGCTGGGAGAGTCAAGGGAGGATCCCCCCCCCCAGCCCCCCAGAGCCTTCAGAGGGAGTACGGCCCGCTAACACCTTGATTTTGGACTTCTGTCCTCCAGAACTTTGAGAGAATAAATTTCTGTTGCTTTAAGCCATCCAGTTTGTGGTGCTTTGTTACGGCAGCCCCAGGGAATGAGACATCTGGGGTGCTGGGTGGCTCGGTGAGAAGAGGGCGTGCAGGTCAGAGGGTTCAGGGCACACGGAGTCTCTGAGGGCTGAGGTGAGGCCTGCCAGGGATCCGAAGGCAGAGAAGGCACGGGGAAGGCCAGAGAGGGAGCAGGGGTGGGGGAGGGTGCCTCCCACCTGGCCTCACGGGGGCTGCACAGACCCCAGGCCCCAGGGATGGGGGAGGGGAGAGGAGATGGGGAGCGTCCTGCTCACATCAGAAGCCACTGCCCATCCCTGCCAACCACTCCCCGGAGAGACTGCGGGCTTGACCTACCCTAACCCTGCGGCACGGGCTGGGTGAAGGCCCCTGCCCACTCCTCCCCTCCCCCACCCCTGGGGCCTGGGGTCTGCAAGCCAGGAGCCTGAGCTGCCAGGGGCCTGGTGCAGAAAAAGCAACGGATGAAGGGGGTGGGGGGTGAAGGATTCAAAGTCCAAGAAACCCCGGCCTATCAGGCAGCTCTCAGAGCTGTCCAGGGTCCTGGCTAAGCCGCTTCTGATCGCTCCCCCGTTTGCTGGGCACCTCCTAGGATGGAAGGCTCTCTCCCAGCCAGACCAATTTTTCTTTTTTTCTTTCTTTCCTTCCTTTCTACTTTTTAACCTTGAACAACATGTATATTGAGTGCTGGTCAGGCAGGTATGAGGCAGTTTGATACGTGAGCCCACCTTGTTCACAACCTCGGGGAGGAGGTGGCTTGTTCAGAAGGCCGGCCTCTTCCTAGCTGCCACCCCAGTTGGTAAGCGGGATCAGTGGGTAATGAACTAAGGTCTTGCTCTTCTTTCCAGAAAAACGGAGCTGCCTTCCTTGACGGACCATCCATCTCGTAAGGCCCAGCTCGGAATGGGGGCCCTCCTGGAGCACTGGCCCCAAGCCCAAGTGAACACTGGGCTCCCAGCCTCCTAGCCCCACTGCTCTGGCCTCTACTCAGTGGGCTGCATACACATCCGTCTCCCCGCAGGCAATCCTGGAGCGCAGAAAGCACTTTGTATTCGTCTCTGTAGCCCAGCCCTTTCCCAGGCCGGGCACAGAAAAGTCTGGGGAATTTAACTTAGTTTCTAAACAGCATTACTGAGGTAGGACTGACATACAATAAACCATCTATTTGTAAAGGTACAGCCGGTGAGCTGTGATGTACGTTCACACCCATGAAACTGTCACACAGTGGAGATAACGGGCTTGTCCATCACCCCCACGGTGGATGGAGCCCCCCCCCCCC